ATCTGAGAAAGGATGTGTGCTGTAACTATCTCTTCTTTTTGCTTCCTTTCTCTTAACAAGTTTGTCTCTTTAGCTCAATACTTTTATTTTCACCCTGCACATTTTTCTCCTTTTTAATGTTAGGAGGCAAAATGGAATTCTCTCCATCTGTATGCCTCCTGCTTTTCAATTTTCCTGCTCCATCATTTTTATCATCACATGTATCTAATTTGGAAAAGTATTTAACTACCGAACAGTCATAGCTGTTGTTCACTGGGTGAACGTGGCCGTTGAAACGGCTAGAGCTGAGGTTTGCATCCTAGTCCCTCAGAAAATTGCTCAAGCAGGCAGTAAAATGTAAAGCTGCATTTTTGGGATCTGCAGTAATGGATTTGTCTACCCTTGTGGAGGCCCGCTCAGGCTTCAGAGTCTCAGACTAGATTCTGGCTTTGGCTAGGCCAAGCACACTGAATATTCGGTTGTCGAGTTTCAGGGAATACCCTGGTTACCATTGCAGGCTGCTAAATCAAATGTTTAATAGAACTAATGACTATATGTGAATTTAGCTTTACATTTTTCTTAAAAAAAAGCTCTAAATGATCCAAGCATTCTTGAATGCTGCAACACTGATCATTATCTCAAGATTGCTTCCTGAATTGGCAGGTACTTTAACTTAATCAGGCCCTAAACAGCAATGTGTTGAAATCCAAAATCAACATGTTTTACTTCTATGACACAACTATGTCCACTTATTCAAATCAAGGGCAGCTTTTTTAAGACCTCCTTCAGCCTATCGGCAAGACAGAAGTACTTATTGGGAATCAGTGAATGTTGTGTGTTTGGATTTTCAGAAGACTTTTGATAAAGTGCCACATAGGAGGTCAGTAAGCAAAATTGAAGCATATAGGATTGGAAGGTAATATACTAGTATGGATTGTGGAGGCAGAAAACAATAGGTCGTCCTCATGTTGGCAGGTTGTGACCAATGGATTGGTTGTTGGAATCCAAATATTCAGAATGTATCTCAATCATTTGGAAGTGGAGACCAATTGTAAAATTCCAAGTTCGTGGATGACACAACTTAGAATAGAATAGAACAGATATATATTGTCACATATACTTTTACATGAAAAATATAGTGAAAATGTTGTAAGTTCCCCTACCATGGCACTGAGAGCAATAACAGATTTCTTACAAATAACAACAATTAAGACAAAGCTCATCAATTCTGTTAGTGGTTCCTGGGCTTGGGAAAAGTCAATTTAGGAACAATGGAATACCCTGAAGATGCGGCTTGGACAATAGCGTCATGCTGGGCTGAGACCGCCACTCCTGGACGGTTCACCTGCTGGGCCACCGGAATACCTGGATGCCAAATACAAAGAAGACCTCCACATGACGACAAGACTACCAAGCCGGGACAAGATGGACACACTGGGAGACCGCCATACAAGGAGACCACCACAGAGGGAGACCGCTACACAGGGAGACCACCACACAGGGAGAATGCGACATAGGGAGACCGCCACACAGGGAGACAACCACAAAGGGAGACCACCACAGAGGGAGACCACCACAGAGGGAGACCACCACACAGGGAGACTTCAACACAGGGAGACTTCAACACAGGGAGACTGCAACATAGGGAGACTGCCACAGAGGGAGACCGCCACAGAGGGAGACCACCACACAGGGAGACCACCACACAGGGAGACCACCACAGATGGAGACCGCCACACAGGGAGATCGCCACACAGGGAGACTGCCACACAGGGAGACCGCCACACAGGGAGACCGCCACACAGGGAGACCGCCACATAGGGAGACCACCACAGAGGGAGACCACTACACAGGGAGACCACTACACAGGGAGACCACCACACAGGGAGACTGACACACAGGGAGACCACCACAGAGGGAGACCACCAAACAGGGAGACTGCTGCACAGGGAGACCACCACACAGGGAGACCATCACACAATAGTATGTAAGCCTTTAATGCAAGAGGATTTGATTACAGGAGCAAAGAATCCATGCTTCAATTGTGTAGAATACTGGTGTGACCACACTTGGAGTATTGTGTGCAATTCTGGTCCCCTGGCATAAGAAAGGATACATATGCTATAAAGGGAGTGCAGCGGATGTGTACTAGACTGACTGTACTTTGGACTGACATATGAGGAGACATTGTGGAGACTGGGCCTGTATTCCTTGAAGTTTAGAAGAATGAGAGGTGATCTCACACAAACTAAAATTTTTGAGATATTCAGCATGGATGGTGAAAGGATGTTTAACCTGGTTGCATAGTTTAGAACATGAGGACACAATCTCAGAATAAACAGCAAGCCATTGAGGACTGAGATGAGGAGGAATTTTTTCACCCAGAGCATATGGCATTGAGGTAGGTGATTAGCCAGATCTGATTGCACTTAAGATTGTGTCATGTTTACTATGAAAAATACATGTTTAATTGTAACTAATTTTATGCAGACAAAAATCTTTAAAATCAGTTATAAGGCCTCTGAGTAAATTTAGATTTATTGTCACTGTGTATAAAGATACAGTGAAAAGTGTTTTTTTTTGCATGTTATACACAAAGTATTACCACACTCCAGTGACATCTTGAAAATATAATGCAAGATTTTACTATAATAGAGTTCATCCTTTTCTCTTCTTCTTGTTCTTCCTCCAGTGGCCCTCGAATCGCTGCTTGACATTGGCCAGAGTCTTTGAAATGGGCACCTGGGTCTCTGTGGTAAGATAAGATATTACCTTAAAATGGGATGGGTGGTGGTCTCGAAACTGAAAGTTTGAGAGTGTCTATACCAGGTGGGAGTCTCAAGGTGAAATTAACACACAGTACAGCAATTGCATGTGTTCCCTGTGCCTTTGGAAACTCTATTCTGGCCAGCAGAAGAGGAATTTCAGTTCTTGAATCCTGGGTGAATGGAAACAAATTTGTCATCCTACTACTGGAGAACAATTTGATCAGCCGGAAATCCAGGGCTGGTGGTGGGTTGGCACGAAGAGAATGGAACAATTTTACTCATCAAATGACAGATCAAACAATAAATCTTTTAGAAAATGTTTGCTGTCTGAGATTAAGAATGTTTTAAAATTAAATACACTATATGTGGATTAATGCAGAGTTTATTTCTGATAAATCTTCATGATACTGTCAGAAAAGAAATATTTCTTTTATTGCAAGTGGATTATTAGACTGTCCAACGTATTCTGCTGTGAATATAAAACATGTCCTTCACGAGCCAAGGTTTTTTTTCTGTTCATTTGTTGCTGGCTGGCCAGCATTTCTTGCCCATCCCTAATTGCCCTTGAGAAGGTGGTGGTGAGCTGCCTTCTTGAACTGCTGTAGTCCTCCTGTTGTGGGTTGACCCACAATGCTATTAGGGAGGGAATTCCAGGATTTTGACTCAGCGACAGTGAAGGAACAGTGATATATTTTCAAGTCAGGATGGGTTAGTGGCTTGGAGGGAAACTTGGAGTTGGTGGTATTCCCATATGTCTGATGCCCTTGTCCTTCTAGATGGAAGTAGTCGTGGGTTTGGAAGGTGCCGTCTGAGGATCTTTGGTGAACTTCTGCGGTGCATCTTGTAGATAGTACACAGTTTAATTGCTGAAATATTGTAAGATCAGTTTATGAAGAATTGCTGAGCAATGCTACAGGGATGGTGGCTCGGTAGTTAGCACTGCTGCCTCACAGCACCAGGAACCTGGGTTCATTTCCAGCCTCAGGCGACTAGCTGTGTGGAGTTTTCACATTCTCCCCATGTCTGCGTGGGTTTCCTCTGGGTGTTCTGGTTTCCTCCCATGGTTGAAAGAGTGCAGGTTAGTTGGGTTGGCTATGCTAAATTACCCATAGTCTCCAGGATTGTGTAAATTGGTTGGATTAGCCATGGGAAATACACGGTTACACAGATAGGGTAGAGGGTTGAGTCTGGGTAGGATGCTCTTCAGAGAGTTAGTGTGGGCTTTTTGGGCCAAATGGCCTGTTTCCATGCTGCATGCTGTCTGCAAAATTAGGGCTCCACCATTCAGGAGAGATGTAAGGAAGCACTTCTATACACAAAAGGAGGTAGATGTTTGGAACTCTCTTCCACAAATGGCAGTGGGAGCTAGATTAGTTCTAAATTTTAAATTAGATATTTTATTTGAGCAAAAGTATACAGAAATGAGGCAAAGGCCATAGATCTGCCATGATCTGATTGGGATGCATCCATAGAGTTGACAGTCAGAATCTTTTACCCAGAGTTGAAATGTCCAATACAAGGGGGCATGCATTTAAGGGGAGAGGAGGAAAGTTCAAAGATGTGAGTTGCCAGTTTTTTACACAGAGAATGGTAGGTGCCTGGAACATGCTGCCAGGGTTGGTGGTGGAGGCAGAACCTATAGAGACGTTTAAGGGGCTTTTAGTAAGAAATTGAATAGAGGGATATGGACAATGGGCAGGCAGAAGGGATTAGTTTAAATTGGCGTCATGTTCGGCACAACATCATGGGCCGAAAGGCCTGTCCGTGTGCTGTACAGTTCTATGAATGGTGGGACAGAGAGGCTGACTGGCCTATTCCTATGTTCCTAGTTTGCAGGCGATGTGAATGGACGACAATTTTCAAACCAAACTTCAGCCAGTTCACCGGACCTGAAACGTTAACTTTGTTTTTTCCTTCACAGATGCTTCCAGACCTGCTGTGCTTTTCCGGCAACTTTGTTTTTGTTCCTGTACAGCATCTCTTGGTTTTTATTCAGCCCTAATGTCATGGGCACGTTACGATTACAGTAATTATATTTTTCTTACAACAAACGCGAAGCACATTGTAAAGGATTGACTGATATTCCATGGAGTGGTGTATTCATTCTCTGTTGGAACTAAACCCCGTGAGGCATGAGTTCATGAGGGGCTGGGGGAGGGGAGGAGAGAGAGAGACAGAGACGCACTGGCCCATTTTAACCGAGTGGGCGGTAGTCGTTAAAACAATCCGGAGTTTAAAGGGTTAAAACATCTGAGCTCATCAGCCCTAAGCAAACTTAAGGCAAGATGCACAAAGTGTAATTGAAGCTGTGTCAAAACTTTTCTCCATTCCGTAGGGAGCTCGAACTAAGAGATCAGAGTGACTGTAGATACTTTCTATCAGTGAAACAATGAGAGAATTCCTGACAATTAGTTTGTGTTTCCTTTCGGTTTGTGGGACATGCGGCCAGGAGGAGCCGAATGGCATGTGGAGACAGATGATTCGGTGGGCGAACAACGGGCAGGTGTACAGTCTATTAAACAGCGGTGCAGCTTACCGGCCCCTGGGCCAACGGAGCGGAGCGCAGTCGCCTCCCCAAAGCATCTACCTGAGCACAGGCACCGCCAGGGAGAGCAGCCCCAGCTGGGAACAGAGCCGGCTCTCCCGGGGACCCGGCAGGGCACTCACTACCCGCCAGCTAAATCCCAGAGCCCGGTCTCACAGCGAGGGGCGGCAGCCCCGGGACATGGAGCCCCTGTCCCTCCGCCAGGAGCAGCGAGGGGCCGCCGGCCTTTCGGCTGAAATGCAAGGGGACGATCCGCGGAGTCACTTCAAGAACGGCAATAGCGTGTTTTACAACGTCTACAGCTCAACCCCCAGGCAATCCCGAGCCATGGTCCGCCGCAGGATTGGTCTGGGGACCAACTACTTCCAAAACGGTGAGTGTATCCCATTCTGATTGGTGAAGGTGGGGTCGGTTCCAGGTGGAATGAGAATGGGATAACATTAGAGGCAACTTTCTGCTGGTCCTGGGCTGGGGAGAAAGTACATTCTGTGCAAGGCCAGGATCATTCCCCCCCCCCCCCCCCTCCCCCCCCCCCCCCCCCCGGGCAGAGAGAGAGAGAGAGAAAGCTCACAGGTGGGCTTTAACTACTTTAAAGCAAAAAGACCGCGGATGCTGTAAATCAGAAACAAAAACTGAAATTGCTGCAAAAGCTCAGCAGATCTGGCAGCATCTGTGGAGAGAAATCAAGAGTTAACGTTTTGGGTCCAGTTCTGAGGAAGGGTCACTTGACCCGAAACGTTAACTCTGATTTCTCTCCACAGGTGCTGCCAGACCTGCTGAGCAATTTCTGTTTTTATTATTTGGAATTAACCCGTTTCCGGACTGTATAGCGTGGACACCAAAAGATATATTTGCTGTCTCAGTAAACAGCAGCACAGCTGAGTCCTCGCTACTTTGTGGAATACAATGTAAATATTCTGTAGTTTCCACTCATTCGTGTAGGTCATTCCGTTTGGTCGGGGATTTTATACTGGTCACCAGAATTAACAGGCCTCTACTAGTTTTACCTAGTCCCTGCATCACCTTGATTTGAATGTTTTCCTATAATAGACGCGCGCGTCATTTCTAAAACAAAAACTTCCTGCTCCTATGATGCTGCTCGGCCTGCTGTGTTCATCCAGCTCTACACCTTTGTTATCTCAGATTTTCCAGCATCTGCAGTTCCTACTATCTCTGCAGCAATTATTTAACAGGGTCAGTAAACATCCGAGCTAGGTGTGTGGAAAAGAGTTAACGTTGCAGTTTAGGTCAGAACGCCTGCTCGCTGTGTTTGAACAAGTCTAGGATGTTGATCTGATCATAATCTCTTGTGCCGGTGGGAGAAGACTGTGTAGTGTCACGTAACCAGCATCTTAAGTCGTTGTTACTTGCATCGAGAGCGTGAGATGTAATGACAGAGCTCATAACATATTCGCCAGTATGGCACAAAAGAAATCACACGGAGGGTTTCTGCTGTCCGTCATGGTCCTGTGTCATTCTCTGGGAGCTGTGCCCATATAACTAGCAGGTGACTGTTCTGACTTGGGTGTGAAGGTTGCAATGTTTAATCTGACAACCAACACGGTTTCACATCCTCTGTCTACTTGTGAAACGGCATGCCATTACAAGGAAACCCCTTGAACGTGCGAAAAATAGCGCAAGGAAATCAGACAGAGGTTTGGAAGGAGGGGAAAAATATCAAATTTCTATTAACTATTATTGCTGAATGAAAAAAACATACTTACTCCAACATACTGAAAATGATTGAGTATATCATTGATAAAAACAGAATCCCGGCCTATTTTGAACCATTGGTAACAAAAACAAAGTTGCTGGAAAAGCTCAGCAGGTCTGGCAGCATCTGTGAAGGAGAAAACAGAGTTAACGTTTCGGGTCCGGTGATCCTTCCTCAGAACTGATAGTAGCTCGGAAAACGTCAGTTTATATGCAGAAAATAGGGAGGTGGGTGGGGTAGGAGAGTAAACGATAGGATAGAGCCCAAAGAGAGAGAAAGACAGTTGGACAGACAAAGGAGTTGCTAACGATCAGGCTGGGAGGGTGAATAGTTGTTAATGGGGACTGTGAGTGACTAACAACAGGGGGTGTGTAGTGGCAGGCTATGCGGTAACAAGGCCTGGTGTGTGGGGTGGGGGGCTGGGACATGGGAGAGTTTAGGCCCTAAAATTATTGAACTCAATATTGAGTCCGAAGGGCTATAGGGTCCCCAAGCGGAAAATGAGGTGTTGTTCCTCCAGTTTGCGTTGGGCTTCACTAGAACACTGCAGCAAGCCAGAGATGGAGATGTTGGCCAGGGAGCAGGGTGGTGCATTAAAGTGGCAAGCAACATGTAGTTCAGGGTCTTTTTTGCGAGCAGAACGTAGATGTTCTGCGAAGCGGTCGCCAAGTCTACGCTTCGTTTCCCCAATGTAGAGGAGACTACATTGTGAGCAGCGAATGCAGTAGACTAGATTCTGGGAAGTGCAGGTGAAGTGTTGATTCACCTAGATGGTATGCTTGGGCCCTTGGATGTTAGGGAGGGAGGAGATAAATGGGCAGGCATTGCACCTCTGCCAGTTACAGGGGAAGGTGCCGTAGGGCTGTGGGGAGGTGTTGGGGTTGAAGGAAGTGTGGACCAGGGTGTCCCAGAGGGAATGGTCCCTGTGGAAGGCAGACAAGGGAGGGGAGGGGAATGTGTCTGGTGGTGGAATCTTGCTGGAGATGGCGGAAATGACATCTGATAATCTTCTGGATGTGGATGCTGGTGGGATGGTAGGTAAGGATAAGGGGAACCCTATCACTGTTGCGGGAGGGAAGAGAAGGGGTGAGGGGAGAAGTGTGGGAGAGGGTTGGACCTAGTTATGAGCCCTGTCGACAACGGAGCTGGGGAATCCTCGGTTGAGGAAGAAGGTGGACATTTCAGAGGCTCCCTTGTTGAAGTTGGCCTCATCTGAACATATGCGACAGAGATGGAGGAACTGAGAGAATGGGATGGAGTCTTTACAGGAAGTGGTATGTGAGGATGTCTAGTCCAGATAGCTGTGGGTTTGTAGTGGATACTAGTGGCCAGGCTGTCCCCAGAAATGGAAACATAAATATCGAGGAAGGGAAGGGAGGAGTCAGAGATAGACCAGGTGAAAGTGAGGGCAGGGTGGACATTGGAGGTGAAATTGATGAAGTTTTCCAATTCCAGACGGGAGAGGGAAGCAGCATCGATGATATCATCGAAGTATCGGAGAAAGAGTTGTGGGTGGGGGCAGGAATAGGACTGGAACAAGGAATGTTCCACGTACCCCATGAAGAGACAGGCATAACTAGGTCCATGCGGGTACCCATGGCAACCCCTCTGACCTGAAGAAAGTGGGAGGAGTTAAAAGAGAAGTTGTTGAGGGTGAGGACAAGCGGAGGAGGGTTATGGTGGGTGGGAATGGTTCAGGTCTTTGCTCCAGGAAGAAGCTGAGAGCCCTAAGACCCATTGGTATTGGCTATAACCTGGCACGGGAAGGACTCCTGCTTTCATTCCTTTAGTTCACTGGAACAACTTTCCCACTAAGTGTACCCCCTAATGCGGTTGTGAACTTTCATCTTTCTCAATTTTCTCCCCCTTATTTCCTGTCCACACTCTTCCCGTCCTAACAGCCACATCCTGCTTCCATGAACCTTTCACTAAACCGCTGACCATCCAATGTCCATTCTTGATTGGCTAACTACCTCCCTGACTATGGAAGCAATGATTTAGTCCCTGTTTGTTAATCTGTTTGTTAACAGTATATCTCATATACTAATAGATGAATTTCAATAAAGTTTGGGACCCGAGGGTGATTGGATTAGTTTTTGTAAAGATATAGCTCCAGATCCTGGATTTTTTTAAAAGGACCCTTTACTGTTGGGAGATATGGTGAAATTACTTTATTTTTAGAATGTTGTGGATTGCGTCAAAGTGAAATTTGTTAGAGCTTTCAAAATGTGAGTAGAGTTTTCAAAGTAGGTTGTTGGATAGAGATTGGCTTGGAAGCAGTTAATAAAACCAGAATTCTTTTTTTTTCAGCTTTATAGTTACAGCATCACCTAGGCAGGGCTTCAAGGAAGAGCTGCATAATTGCAATAATGTTGGGCAAAGATAGTGTGCAGAGATATATGCTGTACTGAGCGTCCTCTTCATTTGTGTTGCTAATAGTTCTCTATACTCATGGACTGTCCTCTAACCTTCAAATCTGCCATTATCATCTCTACTCAAAAAAGGTAACCCATGACACTTCACCATTAAAGTCCAATCCTTTCTCCAGCCTCACTTCTGTCACCAAATTCCTTAAATGTACTGTTCCATCGACTGTCACTGTTAAATCTGTGCCAATCTTTTTCTAAAATTTTGTTTGAGTCCCTTCAATTAGGTTTTAGCCACTGCTTAATTAGCAGATTTGCAGTTATGAAAGTAACAGATGACATTGAGTATAACTGTGACTATAATAAACCATCCTTCCTTGTGCTTCACCCATTGCAGTCTTTGACATAGTTGATGAAACCATCATACTCCATTGCCTCTCCACAATTATCCAGCTGGACGAGACTGCACTTATCTCGATCTATTTTTATCTCTCCGGTTGTAGGTAGGTAATTCCCTGCAAAGCCTTCTCTTCCCACATTTGCATTCTCACCTGTCTCTTCCCCTTCTCCCCTCCTCCCCCACCCCCACAATTAATCTATTTTTTGCCTCCTCTTATTTTTCACATACATTCTGCCTGTGGCAACATCATCCAAAAATGCAGTGTTAGTTTCCATGTGTATGATGATGACGCCACGCTCTACTTCACCATTACCTCTAGTGAACCTTCCATTATCTCTAACTTGTCTGATATCCAGTATTGGATGAGCAAAAATTTCTCTCAGTTATATGTTGGAAAGACCAAAGGTTTTTTGTATGAGAATGTTGTAGATTGTCTCCATTACAAACTTCACTCATTAGCCTCATGATTTCATCTCCCCCTCCCCAGCAATTGTTTCAGGCTGAACCAGTCTTTGCAATTTGATACTAACCAGGTGATGAGCTTTCAACCATTAAACATCCATGCCATTGGTTAGATCACCTGCTTCCACTTCTGTAACATTAGCTGTCTTCAAACTTACCTAAATATTTGCTGACACCTGAGTGCAGAAATTTTCTCCTTAGATATTTCCACCTTGCTATCTCTCCTAAACAGCCCTTAAATCAAATTCTTTGATCAAGCTTTTAGTTTTCTTCCCTAATAAGTGTGGCTTTCCATCTAATTTTGTTTGATCACACTCTCAATACATTTTGCAAATGTGTTAAAGGTACTATATAAATACAAGTTGTTGTTATGCTATGCCGAGTACAAGGTAATCTTCTCTATTGATTGTGTTGAAGACAGACCAAACTAACATGTATAACATTACTGATTTGTTTGCCATTGGTATTGTTTTTTGTGTAATAATACACTTGTATCAGAAGCATATCCATCTGGATTTCACTGAATGTTTAACAAATTTGTAAATTACTAGACAGTAGCACAAACATTTCATATGAGCAAGTTATTACTGAGTGCAATTAGCTCCCCCACTGACAGCCCCAGCTCAGTTAACGTAGTGTATGACAGCAACCTGAATGAATCATAGCCATAAAACACAGAAGGAGATATTTCACAACCAGCAAATTAGCTGATTTACACAAATCGAGATCCCACAAACAACAGAAAAAATGAATAACAAGCTGTTTTTTGTTGCTTCTATTAAGAGGAATATGGACCAAAAGATTTAAAGAGATTGCTGATCATCTTCAAACAACTCCCTGGGTTATATGGATACAATCCTTCATAATGGAAACTTTATTTCTATTATAGGCTTTGTAATAATTTTCTCTAAGTAGAAGTGGAACAGCTTTAGATTGGAAAGTCGATTGTTTTTCAGTGGTGTAATTGGAAATTGCTCAACTGAAAACAGACTGGGCACCAAGATTATAATTCTTGGCCAGTATTGATTTCCTGGTACATCTGTATCATGGGATACAGATGAATCAGTTGTTAAGATTTTGACAAATTTTAAAGATCAACAAACTTCTGAAGTTAAGCCGCATCCCTACCTCCTTTTATCATGCCTACAATTTGGTTTTTGGAACAAGACATGGGTGACATTCCTACATCCCCGAAACAAATGAAAAGTGCAGGAAATATATATTTTTGTGCATTGCTAAAATGATAGCTTACTTCATCTAATGAACTTCCAATAGTTTTGTAGCCAGACACTCCAGCTGTATGTCAGAATTATAAAACCTAGGTGAACCCAATGTCTCAATTGCACTCTTTTGCCTTAAACTATCAACTGATTGAGAAAATGCAGCACAAACATGCTTACATTTCTTTCCTAGGGCTTCCTGACCTGGTTCCTGATCCATATTACATTCAAGCTTCCATGTATATCCAAAGGATGCATATGTATGCATTGAGGTGTGCAGCTGAGGAGAACTGCCTCTCAAGGTAAGACCTACCAATGTAGCAATGAACCAGTAGATCTAAAAATCTAAATGACAATCAGACACCTCCCACCATAACTCTTATTCAGATCAGGACCAGGAGAGCTTGCTGTTTATCAAATATTGAGTTCAGACGTTTCATATGAATGTATAGCATATATATGGCTCCGATTTTTATGGTATTCTATTACATCATATGTACGGAGAGAATATAACTCTTACATTTAAATTATTTTGCTTTCTCTTTTACAGATTTATTTAGAGATTTTTCTAAAATATATTTGCATTTTACATCAGTGTATGTATCTACTTTATATAATTTTCTCCTGATATATGGTTATGTTGTGATGTTATGGATGAAGGTGTAAGGACACATTGGTTATTATTCATGAAATAGATGTATAAAAAGAAAACTTGCCTGTTAATTGCAAGATAGTTTCTTGAAAGTGTATGATTTTTAGATTTATTTTGCATAAAAACAAGTCTATGTTTCATCTGTTAGCATTTTCTTGTTGGACTGAAGTGTTCACATACCCTGCAGCCTCCACACCTTACTATGCTAAATATTTTGTACATAAAGTGAGAAGCTCAAAGGACATTTTCATCAAGTATATGAATGACTTTGTTATTTTTCAAGTGTTAACTGAGTGAAGTCTCTTCATGGAAGGATCAAATATTGGTAGTTCTAATAGGAAAAAAATCGCTAATTTACCTTCTTATCATATCCCTTTTCCTTCCAGAAATGTAAAAGCATTGCCTCATTAATCATTTTACATTAAATTAGAATGGTCAGTGCATTGGGTATGGTTTATGGGCTAGTTTAGTTGTGCGGCTATAATGCAAATCAAATCCAAGCAAAAACAAAGGTGTTGTGAATGTCTAAATTCAGAAACAAACACTTGACCTATCAGCAGGCCCAAGGAAATTTCTCTCTTCTTAGGTTGACCAGGGTTTTCTTTGATTCTATATGCCATGATAAATAAAGCCTAACATGATGATTTAGAAAAAAGTACCAGCACAGCAATAAATATACTGAGGTAGATCTTGCATGAGGTTACAAAATGGATAATACTAAGTTAGTAGCCTATTTTACACCTCTCCCTATCAGTAGATGACTCATTGTGCAATAATGTAAAAGGGATGACAAAGTCAAAATACCCCCTTTAAAGTTTATTGTTAAAATCCGAAATGCTAAATAAGTGATAAACATACAAGTATAATTTAAAAATGTGTTATACCTACACACCTCGTCTTTCCTTGTGCTCTTTCCACATACTTCTGTGCCCCCTCTCTTCACTCTTTTTATTACATTAACCATTGTGCTTCTTGGAAGAAAATTACTCCTAGAACCTTGCTTCCTTTCATTTCCTCATCCAAAATTCATTTTCTTTTTTTTTATTGTCCCTGGAGAGGGAAAAGATTGAACAATAGTCACACCAGGCTCCTGTCTTGCCTAACAGACTCAAAGAAACATTGAAGGATATGCAGAAACAAGAGATGTGTCCCAGGAAGATTTCGATGAAGCTTGAAATACCATACTATGCGCAAGGCTGTGGGCCAAGAGTTGGGGGAGTGGGATTATGGTAGATAAGTGCTTGATAACTGCTGCAGTCAGGATGGGCCAGAATATCTTTTTCCATACTGTAAAATTCTACAACTCTATGAAGGAACAGAAAGAGAGAAATAACTTAGGCTGATATGCCAACAGCGTGAAGAAGGTCTGGCTGTGTAGCAGCTGTTTCATTTAGGATTGGCAGTTGTGGGTAAGGGTGTGTGATTGGCATAAAGTCTGCATAGTTGAAATTTTGTTTTGACACCAGCCAAAACACTGAGTATTTGAGGACCAAGATTGATAGCAAGTACTTGCCCAATGGCCAAACCAAACTTATGTTTCCTATTCCAAAACCTTGCTAAAGGCAAGAAAACATGTTAGGCTATCCAACATTGAATACAAATTAAAAGTGTTCGAGCTACAATGAAGCTATGCTATTATTAAAGAAAACATTTTAAAATTCTTTTCATTATAGTGGTATAAAATAATTTTTCTCTGTTGTTGCCTTTCTTGAACATTTCTGGGTGACAGGAGGTCCAGTCTTTTATTTAAACATGCTTAAACCTAGGTGGTAAAAGTCAGGGTGTTATAAAACTAAGGGGGGGGGGGGGGGGGGTGGATGGTGGTGGGATGCTGGAATTGTAGATCAGCTTGATCCCAACCTCACTTGACACATCAGAAAAGCATTTTATTGCAAAAGTTTCAGAATGAACTGCCTTAACTCATTCATTCCCACTTCAACCCACTTTTGCTGAGGCTAACTGCATTTCTCACTGCTGACTTAACTAATGTCAGACAAAAGCAAAAACAAGAGTTAAAGTTGGGGTGTTTATGTGTTTTTTTGGTTGTAGCATCTTTTGCTGGGAGTCATTGACATGTTTAAATACTTCAGGCAAGGGAAAAGTGTTTGTTCTCTTTATTACATCAATAGCAGTTTTACAGCAATACTTTTTAAAAAATAAATGAAGCTGGAAAGGGACTTGGGGAAGAACTGAGAAGGCGTATTACATCACCTCTTGTAAAGATCTAGCACCAGCTTGGCATAAGGAATCATAGTTTCTCTCTACATGACATTACCATGAAAGTTTCCTTCTGTATTGTAGCACCAAGTAACATTTTTAAGACTACTTTCAGTAATGCAGTGGTCCTAGCGCTTTGAGAATTTTTATGAAAACCTAAAACAGAAAAGTGTGGTGACATTTCATTCAGTGCCACAGGTTACATAACTGAAATAACTTAGTGGAATGTAATGGGGGACCTGGCAAGTGTAAGACGAGAAAAACATTGTTATGATGAAGAATATACAATTTATGAAAAATATAATATCCTTCAGATGTGAGACTTGGCTCAATTAATTTAAAATGATCCAAATCTATTGAAATAGGAAGTAGCAGACAGTTTTCAATAGCCAGCCTCACTTGAGATACTGTCTGAAATAAAACAGTGCTAACATATTTGCCCTGGAGAAACACAAGTACTAACTTTGTCCTCACCACCTGCTCCAATAGTTTGATTGGTGGGCCAAACCCCATGGCATGAGAACTCACCAACCTTTAGAAGAATAGGAGATAACATGTGAAATAAGTTGGATTGTTTTGATGCTGCCAAGCTTGGCTTTAAAAGATTGTGAATGCTGAAGAAAGAACTTGCTTTTAGATAGCACTTTTTAACACTGCAGGATGTTCCCAAAAACTGAAATACTTTAAGTCTAGCCATTGTTGTAATGTTAATGCAGTAGGCAGTTGTGCACAACGAAGAACTACACACAAACAGTGAAACAAATAACCAATTAAACTGCTTCAGTGATGTTGTTTGGAAATAACTTGTTCACCTAGACATGGAGAACTCATCCACTTTTCATAGAGAGATTATCAAGCCCACCTAAGAGGCCAGTTAAGGTCTTGATTTAATATTTCAATCAAAGGAAGAGCATTCCATCTAATCCACCACTCCCATCATGTTGTTTTGGAATGTCAGCCAGCATTATGTAGTAAGGTCCTGGAGTTAGGCTTCAAGTTATGAACTTCCAACTTGGAGACAACAGTATAATCAATTAGACCAAAGATAACACAAAGGAATCTGAGTATTGCTGAAAAAACACACATTTGCACTGATCAGGACAATTCACAAGGATACTAATTCAAGGGGGAAACCAACGTTTATATTGCATAAGTGGAAGGTTCTACTTGGTTGGCAAGTGGACTCTATTTAGTAGAGGTAATCCAATGGAGAATGCACCCGTTATGCTGAATGACAATTATCTGACAGGCTTTGTTTTAATTTTAAACCTAGCAGGTTGACACTGATTGATCAGGACATTGCTCTGAGAAATGAACAAGCGAATGGCTTACAGATATTTTGTTGAGTTGACAGAGGAGCATTGTGTTCTTTATACTGTTGTTCTAAGGTTGTTTTCTTACACCTACACCTGTTCTTAGCAGTTATCAGTCTCCACAAAGTCTGCTATCCATTGAAAGACTCTCCTTGTTTAAGCCTCTGGTTGTCAAGAATTTGGACCTGATGTACCATTCTCACTGACCAATCTCCAGTCTATGGCTTTAGATCAATAATATTAAAATTCAGTTATATGTTGTTTCGCCTTCAGCTGGGAATATAGGAATTTAGGACTTAGGTGTAGGAGTAGGCTATATGGACTTTTTCAGTCTGCTGCACCATTCAATATAATCATGACTGCTCTGGCTGTGGTCTCAATTCTACTTTTTTATCTGTGCCTTATATCCTTTGACTGTCTTGTCCATTAAAACTCTATCTAACTCAGTTTCCAATGACTTGAATGACCCAACCTCCGCTGCTTTCTGAGGAAGAGAATTCCACAGATTAATGACCTCCGAGGAACAAAAATCTCCTTTCTATGTATTCTAAAAGAGATCCCTTATTCTTAAACAATGTCCTCTAGTTTTAGTCTGCCCCATCCTCCTCTTGGTTTGTCAAGAGCCCTCAAGAACTTATGTTTCAGTAAGATCACCTTTTTATTCTAAACTCCAATGGTTAGAGGCCCAACCTGTCCTTTCTTCAGGAAGTAAGCCCTTAATTCCCGGAATGAGTTGAGTGAATCCTCTTTTGCTTGAATTGTTTCTAGTCTGATAACGTCCTTTTTCAAAGGAGGCACCAGAATTGTACACTGTACTCTGATGTGGTCCCGTCAAGGCCCTGAACAGCTCCAGTAAATCTTCCGTACTTTTATATTAATTTTGTTTTGCAAATAAATGACAATGTTCCATTTACCTTCCTAATCACTTGCTATACCTGTACACTAACATTTTGTAGCTCATGTAGATCTGTATCACAGAGTTCTACAATCCCTATTTAAATAATGTTCTGCTTTTCTATTGTTCTTGTTAAAGTGGACAAGGTTCACAATTTTCTACATTACGCACCATCTGTTAATTTTTTTTGTGCACTCACTTAACCTGTTTATATCCTTCTGTAGA